GGTTTCAAACCTTTATGAATTACTTTCTGTTGTTGTACACAAAAGAAGATATTTAGAAGAATGCTGGTTACTGAGACCCATTGACTTCCACAGTAAGGGAAAAAAATATCTATGGAAGTCCAAAAATATCTGCTTTTGAGTTCAACAGATGAAAGAAACTCAAATAGGTGTTGAACAAGTGAAGGGTGAGAAATTGATGACAGAATATTGTCACCAAAGATCAGACCCATGTCCATTGTTCTAGCCCATGTAAACATGGATTGTTTCATCCAAAAGTTAAGATGATCTCATTATTTTTTTTTTTATCGTGCGGTTTTAAACCTTTATGAGTTTCTTTCTTCTGTTGAACACTAAATCACCCATTGATTTCCACAGTAAGGGAAGAAATATCAATGGAAGACCATAGGTCTCAACATTTTTCAAAATATCTTCTATTATTTTCAACAGAAAAATGGAACTTAAATAGGTTTTAAAAATGTGAAAGGTGAATAAGTGATGACAGAATATTCATTATTAGGTGAACTACCTAAAAAGTCAAAAAAGTGTATCTTTTGAAAAGTAGTGACATTTTGTAGAAAAATGACTTTTGTAGCTGTATTTCTGAGAGTGTATTGAGGAACACTGTCACCAAAAAATCTGACCCATGTCATTTGTTCTAGACCATGTGAACATAGATTGTTTCACCTAAAAATTGTGGTTTAAAACTTTGAGTTTCTTTCTTCTGTTGAACACAAGAGAAGATATTTAGAAGAATGCTGATTACTGTGACTCATTGACTTCCACATTAGGGGAAGAAACATCAGTGGAAGTCCATACGCCCCAGCATTCTTCAAAATATCTTATTTTGTGTTCAATAGAAGAAAGGAACTCAACTATATTTTAAACAAGTAAGTGATGACAAAATATTCATTATGGTCAACTGTTGGCGTTTCTGTGCGGAGTTTGCATGTTCTCCCTGCGTTCGCGTGGGTTTCTTCCAGGTGCTCCAGTTTCCCCCAAAGTCCAAAGACAGGTGGGGGAATTGGGTACAGGTGAATTGGGTAGGCTAAATTGTCCATAGTGTATGAGTGTGTATGGATGTGTCCCAGAGATAAAAGGGCATCCGCTACGTAAAACATGTGCTGGATAAGTTGGCGGTTCATTCAGCTGTGGCGACCCCAAATTAATAAAGGGACTAAGCCGAAAAGATAATGAATGAATGAATGTGCAGTTTAAAACCTTTATGAGTTTCTTTCTTCTGTTGAACAATAAAAGAAGATATTTAGAAGAATGCTGGTTACTGTGACACATTGGTTTCCACAGTAGTGGAAGAAATATTATCGAAAGTACAGAAGTCTGAGCATTTTTAAAAATATCTCCTTTTGAGTTCAACAGAAGAAAATCAGATATGCTTTAAACAAGAAATAAACCATGACAATATTTATTATGGTGAACTATTCAAGGTACAAATTAGTACCTAAAAAGTAAAAAAAAAAAAAAGGGGGGGTAGCTTTGGAAAAGTAGTGACTGTATTTGTACCTGTATTTCTGAGTGTCGCCAAAGATCAGATGCATAAGCATCTTCCTAGACAAAACTGATGGAAATTGATTTCATGGTAAAAAAAAGTAGCTTCAATCTCCTCTGAAGCATGACTTTCAAAAGTTGCAATTAATAATAAGGTTAACCCTAATATACAAGAACCATACCATGTTGCCCGAAAACTATGTTCACACGCAGGCAGTCAAAAATGCAATTCAGTGAGCATGACTGATCCGCCAGCCACCGATTCATCGATACATCCATAAAGGACATGGGCGCACATAAAATGCAAACTCCAAGAATAATCAAACAGCTCAGCTCAGATGTAGCGATGTATACATCTCACGCCATGAGCCGTGCAGTAATGCATGGAGAGACTGCACGATTACCTTTGCGGGATGCGTCTTCTTTATGTCTGTCTCTCTGCTCTGACCTTCACAATAACAGAGACGAGTGGCGGCTGGCGAGAGCCGCGGTAATCACCGCACAACACAGATGGGGGCTGGAAATCCCTCTTAATTGTGATAAATACACATCAGAATTGCTTATTTGCCTCTATTGCGTGCCGAGTGCGATGCTGGCGAATCAACGGGTTGCATCCTTTGTGTGATGGTATAGCTCAGCTTGGGCTGTCTGCCTCTCCAGCGTTCGGAGAACATCGGCGCTTCATTTCCACCATAAATATTCTGAAATCGCAGCTAAACAAAAACACTCCCGAGTATTCAGCGAGATGTTCATCATTTCACATCAAAGGATTATTATAATGAACGCTGTATGTTGCTCGTGTCGGAATTTAATTTCAATAACAAGCAGGCCAATTTACTAACCTTCTTTTTAAAATGGCATTTTGTTAATTTTATTACGCACGCAGCTTTTATGAATCTCTAGAAGCATTTAAAACAGTAAAACAAAAGACTTATAGACGCATTTACATTTTCTATGCTAAAACAGACGGAGATATGCATCGCATGTAGTGTCTTGTTAATGGACCTGTTGATATACAAGCCATTAGAGAGCCAATGCATTATAATGCAACAGCAAATAAAGCCCGAGCATTTCACAATGCCACAGCTCCGGTCGCAATCTATGGATCCACTGCTGCACCGTAGGAGAGGAAATGGAACAATTTAGCACTTTTGTTTGCTCACAGTGAGGGAGGGAGGCATTGCTTTCTTCAACACAAAGCCAACTTTGTGTTTAGTGTTGTGTATAAATTCACGCCAACCAATCTCTCGCGCTCTCCCACTCTCTCGTCCAACTCCTTGGGAGTTGCTTCGGCCAAGCGCACAATCCCTCCCTTCCTGACACTTACTACAGCAGGAACTGGTGCTAGTAAACAGCCCTGCATTAAAAAAAATAAATAAATGAATAAATAAACTCCCCTAGAATTTCAGCCCCGGTGTTATTCGGTTCAACTCTCAAGTGCAGCCACATAACGAATCACAGAGTGCAATTTAGCCCTTCAGAATGCCGGTCGGAAACAGGTGATAAAGGAAGCACTCGTGCACCGGCTATGAAGTTTCCCCCCTCGAAATTAATTCCATCTTCAAGATTCCTATCTCTGCGATATGCTCGGAATGGCACACAAATACGCTCCCGCCAGAAAGATTACTGCAGACTGACTTAGCATAAACATCTCCTGCTGTTATGACTGGCAGGGGGTGGAATATAATTCGGAAGTCCTGGCCTATTTAGACATAGGTGCATTAGTGTAATCTGCGCATTATGGGCGGAATTGTGAAATAATCGAGCTTGATGAGAGTTTAGTCAAGATTGCTAATGATAACATTCACGCTACGGTCAGGCACACACACACACACACACACACACACACACACACACACACACACACACACTCAAATTCGTTCTAGCAGAGGTGATACAGTATATGAAACGGGTTGTGTTTACATTGTAAAATGTCACTGGCGCTACGGCTGATATTTTGTACACACACACACACACACACACACACACATGCTGCAGGTGAATTATTGCATACAATTTAACATTAGTTCAACAAGCAGTACAGTGTGAATCAGCGCTGACTAATTTAATACTCCTGAAAGCTAAAAGGGAACCAAAAAAAAACATATTATTTTACATGAGTCAGAGCGAGCAATATTCTACAACATAACCAGAGAAAATAAGACAACCACTTGCTGTAATGATGCACATGCTATAGCACTTGATAACACAGAAGATAGCAATAAAACAAAATGCACCTGACTAGTCGAAGCAATTCACATCATACCATGGAGTAATTTCATAACTGTGGATTCATTTAGTGCAACACCTGCCGTGATGCATATGCATACAGCTCAGACAAAAAAAGCAATAACACAGCCGCCTTACTAGACTACATAAACTATAGTCGTATTCACATTTCAGATCTACAGAGCAGCTAATCCTTGCAAACCATAGAAATATGGACACTCGGTTAATCTAGCTTCTGAATAAATACACTTTAAAGTCCTCAAACCACCAAAACAGTGATTCCAGAACAGATATATGAGATATCACAACTATAAATCTTTCAGAATTGAAAAAAAACTGAATCACCTACAATCAACAACAGTGAGTGAGTATAAAATGTACAAAATAGCAACGCTTAAATATTCCCCAGACTCATGTACAGGCTAGTTTTATATCACAATTTCAGATCTATAAATCATGACAGCTAAACGATGAATTTTTAGTGGTGTATTTCTGAGCTAATGCATTACGCCTTCAAACATCCGCTTTATGCACAGAATTTCAGATCTATATAGATCTGACAAATGAGTTTAGTGCACCACCTGTCATCGGTTGTAAAACCTGGGAATTTCAACAACTCAACAGCAATGAAAACCTATTGAAATGTCATTTTAAACTGACTGTGAAAGCAGTTATACACCTGCCATGCAAGTCTAAAAACACTACTCTTAATATAAGCATTTCAGCAACTGAAGTCCCACTTTAACACGCTAGTCTTGTGTTCAACAACAAAAACATTTAATGCTTATGCAAGATTTTAAACCACATCAAGAGTTTCTGATTGAGGACTCAAATGCACATCAATCTACATGGAAACTTCCTCAAACAGCAGCCTGCTGCATACTACTTCTCAGCAGTAAACAGAGTGTTTAACTCAGATTGGCCTAATGCCGCGAAAACAAACGCCGAGCGGATGCAAAATTGCAACACAGTCAGGTTCGAATGTCCACAAATTTCCAGCGAAACCTGCCAACACAGCGCGACACACGCTGAACACATTCAACGGTCATGTCCTCTGTCCACCAAAACACACACACTCTCTCTTTCACCCTCACACACACACCAGCGTAAACAGACACACACTCGCCGCTTCTGTCAGCGTGTATACCTGTTACCCAACCCCTCACACACACACACACTCCTGCGGAAAGGGCAAAGTTTCACATCCCAGTCCAAAATGCCCGTCAGCGCACGCGTTTCCACAAACACACAACAAACCGAGCGTTTACCGTTCTCTTCTGGAAGGGTCTTGCTGAATGCTGGGCTTGGTGGGCGCCATCTTCCTGCAATTATTAATTACACTTTTTTTCTCCTCCAGATTTCACGCGACGAGCAGCTGACAGCGGAACCGGGAGCATTTAAGCAACGCCATCGGCGGTACCGGAGCGCCCGTGCCTCCGTGCGTTAAGATGCAGTCAGACGGGAGCGAGACCAGCCGACGCTGAGATCCAAAGGCATGCCAATAAAGTGAGAGGAAACCCGGGGACGCTCGTGCGATCCGGCGGCTGTCCTCGCGGGGTAAACCGGGGCAGGAATCAGTGCACGAGAGGGGCATTTACACCACGATGTGCCCCTCGAACACAGCCGCTTCTTCCTAGCATGTTTGTCCGCATTTTCCAGCGTTTTTCCTGCCTCTCTCTCCCTCTCATCTCCCTCTCCTGCCGGCGCAACAACGCCACTCAGTTGTAGTTGGAAATAGTTTGAGTTTATAAGGAATATACAGGTTGTTTTTCAGGCGTTGTTAGAAAGATTTACATAAGAAAAATTGCTTTATGGTAGTTTTTGATTGTTAGCTTATTTATGTATGCACTGGTATTTTTTAATGAACACAGTGTGATTGACAGCTGTCAAAATCTGCTCATTGTTTTTCACAATGTGAGACTATATTATATGGAAATAGATACTTTGCTAAAACAAAAAAAAATTAAATAACCCCTATATTATTATTATTTAAACTAAAGAGATATGCCATGTGTTAAAGTACATCTACACAAACCTATATCAGAACAAATGTCAATGCTTGAAGTAGATCTGTGCACTAATTCAGTATTATTAGTATATGTGTATATTCCAAATGAATCTGTCTCGGCATAAATATAGGCCTGTTTGGTGATGTGCATTAGGACATGTGACCTGTCAAGGTCATGAGCTGACAGCCACCCCATTTAATGTCCTGTTCATTGTGTTGTGCTCTAAATAGACTGTTTAATTGAACGTGACAGTGTATGTAAGCATGTGTGCTCATGATTCTGCTGATATACTAACAATCGGAGGCTTTCAAATCCATTAACCTCAACGTACCGTCTAGCTTTAGCAGATGGAGTGCTTCTATTTGTGTTAAAATAAATGGTATAACAATCCTGAGTCTGTTTAAGAACTTTATCAAGACTTAATTTGAATGTATGAATCAAAACCACACACACACTGTGGTTTAGTGGTGTTTTCTGGGCTTTGGTGATTAGTTGTTTAACTACAGTAGTTCTTTGAAAATACATGAGCGGTATTTTCAATTTTAAACTGTTAGTTATGCACTTTATTTAAATTAAAACTTTGAATTAATCATTTGTTGATAGTGCCACTCTTGTAACCATCACTGAATACTTCATGTAAAATAAACTGTTTATTTATATAATAAATGTAACATTTATTTATGTTGACTATAAATCATGATATGACTTTCCTTCTCATCTGTGTGTGTGTGTGTGTGTGTTCAGGAATATGACACACAATAAAACTTTACAGCTTCACTAAACGGCTGGCTTTATATAGTGAGTCGTTTTGTGTGATAGATGAAGCAACACCTGAAACTAAGTTTAAACCTGCAGCAACCTCCAGAGAGATCCAATAACGCTTTATATGTCTGACGTGAATGAATGCAACAGATATGACATGAATGGATGTCACCTAGATGTGTGGGGAGAAAAAAACAACAACATGTTTTGCGGTTAGTCTGCGTACCTTTGTTGGTAAGACGTCAAGCCTTGGACGTTTTGCGGATTCCCGTTTGTAGCTCCCGGGACTCTGGACGCAGCCGGCATCCCTCCGCCGCCTCCCGCACCTGCAGCCGCCGCCGCCGTCACCTGAACACTGAAATCCGGGAAGATCCTGATCATCCCCGAGCGCGCACCGCGATCCTGCACAGACCGAGTATGTGTGTATCAACCTTCCCTCCGCTCCGACAAATCACAGCAGCACAATCCCATTAGTGATGAAAACAATCTCATCAGCCATTCTACGTCTTGTTTTCTGCTGTGAGAGGAGAGATCTGCTGCTTTTGCTGGAGCTCGCCGACTGTCTGCGCGTCCTGTGCGCTTTTACGCGGAAAAAAGTTTCAAACGCTCCAAGCTTTCAAGCTCCTACGTTTTTAAAAGGCGAATTTCCTCAGAATCTTGTTATTTAGCCATGTCCTCCGGTATATGACTGTCTTTATGACTGCTTGTGAGTCTGATATCAGTTAGGGTCCGACGTCAGACTTAACTTACCAAAAAGTGTCACACTAACTCCTAAAATCCTAATTCAAAGTATCTGCATATTATTTCAGCTTAACATTGGGTTTTGAAAGGCTTTAAAAAGACATTATAAAGCTGTAAAAACGCACGTGCGACGCTTTCCTTGTGGTGTAAAGGAATGTGTGCGTCTAAATAAACGAGCACAGAACTTTTATCAGTCCGGTTTGTCCTGAAAAAGCTCTACTGATTGAGATCAGAGACAGCTGTCCATTCCCAGTGTGGTTTAGGAAACAGATCTAAGTGTGTGCGCGAGGAAAGTCCAGTGCATGATGTGATCTGCTCGCCTCCTACTGTTGTGATGATGATGTGCTACTGCTTTCTGTTTCAGAGAGAAGGACCGATCAGCTTCTTCTTCTGGTGCTGATGCTGCAGAGGTCAGGTGCTGTAAGTGCTGCTGCTGCTGCTGCCAGGATCAATGTCTAAAGCTGATGGGATGTTTGCTGTGTGCATGCTCCTGATGTGTTGTGTTGTGTTGCCCTGCTGTGTGTGGCAATGCCATCGCTATAGCGCGTGCGGGAAGATGAACTCCGCCGCTCGTGCAGCTGATTAACGGCGCGCGCCGCCGCCGCGCAGCCAATGGGACGCTCGCACGGGAGCGCGCGGAGGTTTACCGCATCTGTTAACCCTTCACCGGCCGAACCACGAGGAGCAGCGGGAGATTCACAGATGAAGCTGTAAGGTCAATCACACTCTTTTAAAAGAAGTTAACAGCAAAATCTGAATCAGAAAGAGCTTTATGTTTACACATACGAATAATTTGTTTTCGTGACAGAAATTTCCACAGTGCAACAGAAAGAACACGAATAGTAAAGGAATTTTAAAAAGTAAACAATGAATAAAAATATACAATTCGACAAATACATGTTATGTATATTTCTATATAGTAAAATAAAGAATAGAAATAGAAAAAAAGCATTATCGGCAGCCACAAAATACTTGTTAATAATCAAAATAGATCTTTTTAATGTGCTACTATCCTTTAAACCAGGTTTAACATATTTGTCATTTAGAAATATATTAAAGATGACTACTATAACTTTATTTTTGTTTACATAAATACACTGTAAAAAAAATCTAGTTTTTCTTAAATTTTATGTTGAATCAAATTAACCTTATGAGTCTATTGAACTTATATTATGTTAAACTGACTTAAAACAGCTTGTATAACTTATACAATTAAGTTAGAACATAATTAACTTAGTTTAATAAGTTACAATGACCTGAAAACATATGCTGTCAGAACTAGTTGATCAAATAATATTTACAGTGTAGGCCAAAGTATGAGTTGTTAAATTACTTTTTGATGCATCAGTATGTTTTCTATAAAAGACTTGTGTACGTTTAATTTGATGAAGGCATTCATTGTAATATACTGATTTTTTTTTTTTTTTAATCAGAATAAATAATTACTGATTTTTCCTTTGGGTTGGGAATTGTGTTATGGGATGTTTATCTTTGCTCTGTTTACTTTTGATATTGAAATTTTTACTCTATCAGTTTAGCAAAGTGACTTTTATTGATATTTCAGTAGTTTTGTGTAATAAATAATATAATGAATTAACTCAGTAATATAACAGAAAAAGTAGGCCCAAGTGGCAGATAATTGCATTGAATTTTTAACACCAATTCAGGCAACATGCTGTATATCTTCAATCTATTAAAAAATATTTAAAAAGTCTTTTTTTTTTAAATCAAAAGTTGCTAAAGGAAACAAATCAAAAGCATAAACAATGGAAAAAAACATGATTCACAAAATATGGAAAACTGTACAGTGCATGGTTACATAATATTGTAGTGTTTTCTGCCAAAAAAAGTGAATTGGCAGTTTTCTGTAATTTGTGATTAATGTTTTCATTTAATATTTTCCGGATTTATTTATGCTTTTTTATTGCATTATGAAACCTTGATCTTTATGTTCTTTCTACCTTAAAGTTACTTTTATTGACATCTTTAATAGTTTAAAGTGATATATTCTCTGCATTGGTGTTGTATATTATAGAACAAAATCCTCGTAGTAAGCTGCCAAAACATTTTTTACAGATTGATTTCTCTACATATAATTTTTTTATAAATTATTTTATTTCAAAATGCTAAAATGTCAATAAAAGTCAATTTGTTAAACTTTACAGTTGAATTTTCAACATCAAACGTTGACAGAGCAGATATAAAGCTCCCATAATGCAATTAACAATCCTAAAAAAAACAAATAAGCGTTAATAAACGTTTGTTTTATTGACCACTGGGTGAAATAATTCAACATTAGACATGCATCTCACAATTTTGCAAAGTGCGATGCAATCCTGGATTAACATCTATATTGATCCTGGAACATCATTTTTGTTTGAAAATGTAATCCATACCTATTCCGTATCCCTATACCCAACCATAACTGTAAATTATTCCCACAATCAGAGGGGAATAACATGTATAAGTGCATAAAGCTAACCTTAAGCCTAAACATAACATAAAAGGTAAATGCATCCCTTAATTCTGATTGGATGATTGGAATGTTGTTCCAGGATCATCATACATGTTAATCCAGGAACAAGTCCTACTTGGCGAAATCCGGTTGGCGCATTAAACACATATTAAATATGGACATTTTATCTTGCATTTTATTTTAGAAAGAAAATAAAACATTAATTTAGTATTTCTACATAAACTAAATAAACACATCTATTGTGTATATATTTGTATGTAGTGTTTTGTTCTTACAGACAGAATAGACAGGATGTATACCATGAAGAATTAAAATATGGTTTAAATCACAAAAAAAAAAATGCAGAAAAGTTTGCTCCTGAAAAATCCTTGCTCTCTACGCAAACAAATCCATGTTGACTGAGTTTTGAGTGTCTCCTACTCAATTTCATCTGCGTCATAAATAAAGGAAGCCCTTTACACTGTAAAAATACACACTGTCAAATTATTGAATCGTTGAATCCGTCCTCTGCACTTCAATAACTGTCTGGTTTAGCTCAGCTTCCACATCTGACCTCCGAAGACTATGTCAGATAATTCAGACTGCTGAGCGAATCACTGGTACAACCCTCCCTATATACTCTTCAAGAACTGTACTTATCCAGAGCGAGGAGAAGGGCTGCCAAAATAACGCTGGACCCCTCACACCCAGCACACTGCCTCTTTAAACTTTCTGGTCAACGCTACGCACTGTGCACCAGAACAGCCTGACACAGACACAGTTCCTTTCCTCAGGCAATCTATCTCATGAACACTTGATGATAGTAATTGTGGAACAAACATCTACTTTTTATACACATATACACTTATTTAACAACATACTTTAAATGCCAATTTGCACATATAATATTGTATATAGTAATACCTGTACATACTTGTCAATTTGTATATTTGCATTCACACACTTCTATTTATTATCTGTTTTTGTCCTGTCTGTAATTCTGTTGCACTGTAGAAGCTCTGTCTTAAAATCTAATTGAGTATGCCCGTTGCCTTATATTTATTAAGTAAACAAACTGTGCATAATTATAAAAGTTATGTTGACAGATTTACTGACTGTTTTTTATTTTTTATTTTTTATTTTATTTTTATTAATTGTTAACAAAACATACAGGCTGAAAGACCTATATTATGAAACATATCAATTCAACCCCCCCCCCCCCCCCCCCCCTCCCCTGCGGTCTCTTGAAACTGGGCTTTACAATGAATAGAAGTTAACATAAAAACAAAAACAGAATACAGTATCAAATATCAATTATACAAAGCAAGGCAATTATTCTGGATCCTGATCATTTCTTTGTGCAGTAAACAAGGAGATTTTGTCAGCAGCTAAAGTCCAGATCTGCAATGTACTCATTTGTACCAAGTTCACTCGCGCCGTGGATAACTCCAACATTATAATGTCTTGAAGTTGAACCAACCACTTGTACATGTCCAAATTATGTGGAGGCAGCCAATGTTGGGCTAGTAATTTTTTAGCAGAAGTTACCCAGCCAGCCAAACAGCTTTTTGTAGCTTGGTAAGGTTCAACGTAGAATCATTTACTGACTGTTTTAAAGTAAAGTCAACTTGTTGCTTTTAAGGCAACTAAGGCTGCATTTACACTGCAGATCTTAATGG